TATATATAATTATATAAAATTATATAAAATTATATATAAAATTGACATATTTTATATATGTATAATTATATATATCACATGTCCATTATTTAATACTTTTTCCCGGATATTTTCTTGCATTTTGAGTTGCACTATGCGTGCATTTGTAATGCGATAATTGTCTCTTAATAGCTTTGTGAATATGTAGTTTCATATATATTTTTAGAATTTAGATGATTGCATCGGAATTACATACATTATGCATCTAGTGGAGACTGAAGTGTCATCGCTCTTCGAACGAAGCGATGAAAAGTTAAAAGAAGAAAATATACGGTGGAATGAAAAAAGAACAAATACCAGCGGAATGTCCAGTTTTTGCGTGGCAGTTACTTATCTTAAACGAGCTAAGATTCTCATATAGAATAGCGGAGAGGCTTTTCGATCCTCAGTCGCGACCGCTTCCAAAGACGAAACGCAATGCTCATCATTCTCGAACAAACGTAATTGCGATGCAGCAGCTATAAACCCTTCATAATTTCACCGGCTATTTGTTCTTAATTCGTTACATTTGTTTTTGCATTAATTATGGAATTGTTTTTCCACGCCTGTCAGTTTCTTTGATTATTTCTGAAATTATTTTGTTCTATTTTTATCTTAAGCACAGTTTGCTTTAAAATTCTTAGAAGTAATAAAAAATAATAGAACTTTCGTTTTTTTTATTAAATTTATTAATTCCTATAAAAGTTGAAATCTTGTAAGCATTTATAATGCAATTTAATTTATTATAGGAAACGTGCAATTATTAATAAATGAATCTCATCAATTATGCAATCCTTCTATTGCTGAACAGGAAGCTACATCGTATTATACTAATTATTACTCTATTTCTAAATCTATTATCAGCGTTCGTTTATTCTTGTGTTAATTATTCTGAAAGTTATTGTATGAACGCTAAAATAGCGCGAATAATGACGCGTTAAAGAATACTTATTCTCGAATGCAGATGGCGAACAAAGTTTATCAGTTGCCATGTCTACACGAGGAAAACACCAATCTTGGGTGTGGTGCCCTTCTTCTATCTCACACTTACAAAGAACAAATGTCAGTTGGTTTTGAAACCGACGTACGGAATCTTAATGATGTCTCGTCATATCCGACAACGAGCTTCGGCGGACTTAGACTTCCAACCGAGTATCCCAAGTGAAACAAAATATATTGTGTAGTTTAAATAAATTTAATTTTTTACGTACTATTATTAATTATGTAACTTTCGACTCATTTATTAATAATTGTACAATTTTCAGAAATAAAGATACAAGTGCTAAAAAAAAATAATTTATGTAAATTCATTACTTTTATATGAATTTATTATTGATTTCAAACGTGTTAATAATAATAGTGGATTTAATCTCGTCGAAAATTTTGGTCGAATTATTTTGAACATTATGATTATTAAACAAATGTTTCTCAGTGCATAAATTGGTGACGTATAATATGTTATTAATTAAACAGTGTGTTTAATGTATGAGTGCAATACATAATTAATTTATTTTACTACAAAAATATATTATATACAAACGATGGAAATATTAATATAAACGATAGAAATATTAAAATTTTATTACAAAATTGAATGTAATTATCACAAA